GCAGCGCTGATTGACACAACATAACAGTAAATTGTTATACGTAAAGATGTTGTAATAGCTTTGCTTACTTGGTCCACTAGTAATAAAGTTATCAGAATTAAATGGGAAACGGTCTTTATACATGGTCTTTCCTGATCGTAAGTTGGAAATTAAAAAATTCACACTCATTTATTGCCAAGATTCGTGGAAGAAGTTGAACACCAATTTATTGTGTTTAGATTGACTTGATATGCACTTCGCGTGTGCCGCTGGTAAATAATCAAACTCCGTGTGAAAAAAACTGACTTTATTGAATTAACAACACATAAATATAACGCTAATAAGTATTGTTTCGCTCGCTGCTGTCCACCGGCCTCGACTTCTCGTATTTGAGTGCTGTCGTCTTTGGGGTGCTTTTAGGGGCTCGCCTTATCTTCACGTATGGCATAATATATCTTCCTATGCTACCATGTTACCGGATTATATATAAAATGCATAAAATAAACTTGAATTAGATAGAGGCGTGAACATGGCCCCCGCCTTGCAAAACACTGCCAACAAAATCATCTGCTAATGCTAAATGTTCAAATGTTTAAACTACACTTAGTCCGAACCGGGCAACGGCCACACCTTGGAAAAAGAACGAGTTATGATACCATTGTCTGTCTTTATCTTAAAAACTCTGGCTACACCATCACTGCCGCGTATAAGTTCGATCACGCGACCTAACTTCCTCCTTAATGGAGGTAAATTGTCTTTTTTTATGAGCACTAACGTGTTTTCCGCAACTTCACCATTAGTAGTAGTCCATTTCGTACGTTTTTGTTGTTCGGAGATGTATTCTTTGTTCCATTGTTCCCATATATGCTGATAAAACTGCTGAATATGCTGGAATTTTGAGAGCCGATTAACTGGAATATGACCATAATCTGGATTGGTAGTAAGTGGTCTTCCGATGAGAAAATGTGCAGGAGTTAATGGGGAGAGATCATTTGGATCACAGGATAAAGGATGAATCGGTCGGGAATTTATTATAGCTTCAATCTGCATAAGCAACGAATAAAATTCCTCGAACGTTAAGTGCGCGTTTCCCAAAACTCTATGTAAATGATGTTTAACTGCTCTTACTCCGCTTTCCCACAGTCCGCCAAAATGTGGAGAAATATTATCCTTTAGCAAGGTTTCTCTTATCGCGGGAGTGTGCTGCTCTAAAAATTCTCTTAATGATTTTAACTCCAAACTAGCTGCTATAAAATTGGTTCCATTGTCGGAAACCATCTTTTGAGGCTTTCCTCTTCGCGCAATAAATCGTTTAAAGGCCAACAGAAATGATTCCTTAGACAGTCCTGTAACTAATTCTAAATGTATGGCCTTCGTACAAAAACAAATAAAAAGACACATGTAACTCTTTATTAGTTTACAACCTCGACCCTTTCTATCGCAAATTAAGAAAGGGCTCGAATAATCTACACCTGTTACAATAAACGGTGGGCCACCTGCGAGACGCTGAGCAGGTAGGTCACCCATTATTGGCTGAATGGATTTAGATTTTAATCTAAAACATTTAACACATTTGTGTACGGTACGTCGCGCTAAATTTCTTCCTGATAACGACCAGAAAGTTTCTCTTATCGTTGCAAGTAAAATCTGAGGACGAGCATGCATAAGATCCTTGTGAAAATGATCAAATATTAATGTAGTAACTACATGATCTGCCGCTAAAATAATGGGATGTTTTTTGTCATACGCAAACTCGGAATGCCTTAAACGCCCGCCTACTCTCATGATGCCCTGATCATCTGAGATAAACTTATAAGTTTGCTGTTTTTATTTAGAGATCCCTTTTGGTTCAAACGCTTTATTTCACTAGAAAATCACTGCGCTTAACACAGTTTTAGAATACGGTTAAACGCAGAATTTATTTCTTCCACAGAAAGGGGTTCGGAAGTTCTTTCCTTATTTTTACACATGCGGATGAATTTGAACACATATGCAGCGGTTTTTTTAGGCGTAAAATATTAGAAAAGCGCTCAAATGAAAATACTTCCGTATTCTGTGTTTCATCAAGTTTATTCGTAAAAACCTTTATATTTTTCCTCGTTTTGCTTGTTTCTGTAGGAACAACTTGTAAATTTGGCCATTTATCTGAATCTTGCATGAGCCACTCCGGTCCATGCCACCATAAGTTGCAGTCCATTATTTTATCTGGTTCCACGCCTCTGGACACTAGATCTGCAGGATTATCCTTGCCTGCACATGACGCCACTGCGCAAACGAAGTGGTTTCGTGGGTCGCTGCTACGCGGTTACTAACAAACGTCTTCAATACATTGGCTGATGTTTTCAACCAACTAAGACTATTGATGAATCTGTCCAGAGGTAACACGTATTAAATTGCACATTTAATGAATTTTTGACCTTATTGGTCAAACGCGATAAAATGACTGCTCTACAGAGCTCTAAACGGGGCAAGGTAACTGGCTTTAAAGGCGCAACCTTGCTTTTCGCCCATATTAAAAATGAATACGATCTAACTAACGAATCGGTAGATTTAATGAATATGCAAGCACCGTACGCTTTTTTTGAAGAGTCGCAAAAGCCATGAAGTTCTAGTTTGACCTTACGATAACCTAACTTACGATATGCCGAGGTATTTTTAAATTGTTTAAGCTTTCTAATTTATTCCTAAAATGTAGATAATTATTTGCTAAATGTTCAGGTATGGGATTATCCACAGCCACCTTTACTTCCAAGCCATGAAGTAAAAAAGGCAACACCGCATTCTATGACGTCGGTAGTCCGATAATCAGCTGTAAGGTCTACCAGAAAATTAAACTAATTTGAATTTTAGAAAACTGATATTTTGAAAACTTCAATTCATTACAGAAATATTTTTAGGGAAATTAAATTAATGAAAGTTTTATTATTATTATTAAGGTTATATTATCAGTAAAATAATCATTAGAGTAAAATTTATTGCACTTAAAATACAGTGTCAAACAGTTAATCTTACAATCAAATGCAGTCAAGAATTTCTAGTAATTTTAAATATTAAGTACTTAAGCATATAAATAACACAATGCATTAACACGAGATTTAAAAAGTTTATTAAAAATACAAAAGATATAAAATTTGTTAAGTAAAAACTTAGTGTAACTATTATGATTAAAAAATTCATCCTAAGAAATCAGACACAATATAAATATGGTTCTAAATTAATCTATTTGAAAATTAAATATTTTACTATTTAAGTACTTACAACTTTTGTTGAATTTTCATACTTAGTTATGTGAAAGTAGCAATTTTATATATGAATAGGTTTTTTGTCATATAAACCAAGTTAAAAGAGGTATACATGAAAAATGTGTTGAATGTAACATACCATTTATAACTTGTATATCGATTTAAAATAGCCTATATTCTCAAAAGATTTTTGAATGTAATACTCAAATTTGTTATCACTTATCTAAAAAGCAAATCTGTATCGAGAAAGTAAGTTTTCTAATTGTGACCATCTTGTTAATTTACTATATTGTAAAATCCATTTCAAATCATTACTACTTAATCCATTCTTACCTACATTGACGATTACACTAAAACTACTGCTAACTATTACACTACTTATTACACAAATATTATCACACTCGTGTCCCAACTGATTAATGTTTAATACATAGAAATATACACAGTCACTTGTAATTTTACTTGTCCAGCTTTTCAATGGGATATTATTGTCTAAGTCTCTTAAAAATGATGCAAATAAATCTATTAAATCATTGTCTAAGAATTCTGTTATCTCTTGTTCCCTCTTCTTATGCAAAAAGTTTCTTCTGTATTCGGGATTTCTTCTTTCTTTAGTACGATGAACAGTTACATATGATGGTACTTCAGGAAATATATTAAGAACTGCATTGTCTTTTAATTTGGGAAATATTAACTTTTCAATGTGTACATTTCCATCTTTATCTTCTCATTGTTCGGCCTACTGAATATCATGTTCATGAAAATGTTTGGCACAAACTACGGAAGATTTGGTAATTGTATAGCCTTTTCTATGAATAGAGCCTAACCCAGTATACCTTCTTTGGGGATTTTTGGGAAACGAAAACATAATTTCTGCCTGTTTCGTTTTTAAAGTACTGGCATGATTGGTTTTGAAACCAGGTACACAACAATGCCAGGGCATCTGTAACAAAAAGCAAAAGTATTATTATTGTTGTTTTTAGTTTACATATTTTGCAACAAGAAGCAAAAGTATTATTATTTTCAGTTTGTTTTATAGGTTATATTTATAGTTGCCTTTTAAATTGTCGTTAACAATCTTCTAAAAGTTTTAAAGTTAATGAAATTTCACTTATATTAATATTTTCTAATTGATTTAAACACAATTTTCAAATAAAACATTAGATTAATTAAAACATTAAATTCAACAAACTTTACAAGCCTTCCTATATGAATTGTTAAACAAAACAAACCACGGTCGCACTACCACGCGTTGTTGCCAAATTTCTACTTCATGGCTTGGAAGTAAAGGTGGCTGTGGATCATCTCATGAAAGACGATCTAGCCATAGTTGTTGCAACATAATTTTCGCTATGATTGTACACGCACTTAATAGACCCAAGGGATAAAAAATTTGAGCTATATCCGACAATAAATTTCGCTTTGTGATTATATGGCCTAGAGATGAATTTATGCTATAAAACACAGTATCTGATTGAGGTGAGTACAATAATCCCAAAGTTTTCGCCTTCTCGTTTTCACCGAATTGAATAACTGAACCCGTAGTTGAATTATCCGGCATATCTCTTAATATTTCAGGATCATTTGAATAGAATTTACGCAATATAAATCCTCCGCCTTTTAGGACCTCAAAAAGTTGTTTACAATGTTGGGACAATGTTGGAAGTACTTATTGGAAAACCGAATCGCAAATCGAAGATATTGATATAAAACACATGATAATTATAAGAATAATTTTATTTACTTTGTATTTAATACTTTTTTCTGTCTACTTTACAGACATTAGGTCAAAATTCATGGTGGGGCGCAAGATTACTGATTTCTCTAGTAGAATTCCAGTCCCTCAACATCCTCAAAGCAGTTGCATTTACAGAAATATTTTTGATGCCTTACACAGTCCTATTAATATTGATGTAAGTATCTTTTTCGTGATAAGCTTATTTAATCGTTTAACTGTTTTTTTACTTATATATAGTTTTTTTATATAAATATTCAAGTTCAGGGAGTTATCAGGTATTACTTACGCCTTACATTATCATACAGAGAAAATAATCGACTGTGAAATTCGATTCTTGAATTGAAACCTCGCCAGTTTCACACAATCGCATTTTAATGAGAAGCAAGCAGAAAATGATTTGAAAATGACTTTTTAGTCTTTGTTGAAACTATATATAAAAAATAGTATTCATCATTCTTTAGACAGCGGCTCTGAAGGTCTCGGTCGATGATATGCCGAGTGAACGTCACAGGTTGTTGAGCCAAAAATTTTGTCTTTTTCCTATTAACCTTTTTCCCTGAATTTTTCCTTCAGTGATCAACCAAAGTATGTTGTATCTGTCTACCCTCAATGAATGTCCAAGGTTCGTAAGTTTACGATACGTTATTCTTAAAATTTCCGGAATAATTTCCTGCTGTAATAGGTGCAAATATTTTCCTCTGGTTAGGTTAAATGCCTTACTGAAAGTCAAAACAAATTCTGTCCTAGAACTCAAAAAAAAGAGAAGATTAGCCAAAATACCAGGTAACTAATGCAGAAAACAAGAGAAATGAGATCGAGACGGAAACTAAAGCCGGCGAACTACAAAAATTAAATAAAGAAATATCCAAAGCTGTTAGACAAGACACTCGAAAATACAACCAAGAACAAATCGACCATACGATGGAGAATAATAGAAGTAGGAAAGTATTGAGAAAAAGACTAAGAAAGGGGACAAGGCAGATAATAAAGATTAAAGATACAAATGGTCATTTTACAACCAATAGAGAGGAAACCCTTGAAATAGTTAAAGACTTCTACACACAAGCCAACACAAAGCAAATAACAGAGAAGATCAAGTACCAGAAATATTAACAAGGAAAAAGGGCATTGTCAACCAAGGATCAGAATTACTACTGGAAATCACAATACACTAAATAAAACTAGCCCTAAGAAAAGCTAAGAATATCAAATCTCCAGGCGAAGATTGTGTAGTTACTGATGCAGTCAAAATTGGAAGGCACTTGCCTACTTAAGGAAATAAAAAATCTTTTTAGCATGTGCCTCTTGGCCAGTAATATACCCGACAAATGGCACAATGCTGAGGTAATTCTATTGTACAAGAAAGGAGATCCCCATGAATTAGAAAACTATAGACCTATAAGTGTTCTTAGTCATCTATAAAAACTCCTTACAAGAATAATAACGAATTGTCTTCAGAAAAAACTTGATTTCTACCAGACAAAAGAGCAAGCGGGATTTCGTACCGGATTTGGAACAATAAAAATACAGAGCAATGAAACAGCAATAGAAAAAAATATCGAATACAATCGACCACTCGTTCTGGCTTTTGTAGATTTCCATAAAACCTTTGACACGGTAGAATTTGACAAAATCCTGGAAGCACTACAAGCATGCCGCATTGACTACCGATATACAAGGTTAATTTACAATACATACAAGAACGCAACTATGTCGGCGAAACTACATAAAAACACGGATTATATACCAATCGGCAGAGGAGTCCGAGAGGGTGATACCTTATCGCCTAAACTGTTTACCGCAGTACTTGAATATACTTAGGAAACAGTTTACAAAAGGATGGAAAGCGACTTCGACGGTACACAAAAGCAAATATGGATATTAATAAGAAACCAACGGAAAGAAATGTCAGAATTGAAGGAATACAATAACATACCAGCAAACGAATGGGAAAGATATCTGACGGAACTGTTTAAAGGAAAGGAAAATAATAATCAACACAATAACGTACCTGAATTAAGACACGAAATAGAAATCAGTTTTCAGGAACTAAAGATAGCCATAAATTCACTCAAAAATAGAAAGTCTTCAGGACCAGACGGAATAACCAACGGGCTTCTAACACACGGAGGAGAAAATATAACTCTTGATGAGATGATTAAACTTATACAAAAACTGACATTGCACTGCAAAATGCCACACGTATGGAGAAACAGCATAATGATACCAATGTTCAAGAAAGGAGATAAAGAAGACCCCAAAAATTAAGGTATAAATCTACTGAACCCCGCACTTAAGCTTACCACAAAAGTCCTAACCAATAAAATCTACAAATAAACTAACAACGTTATCAGATGAACAACAAGGATTCAGATCCGGAAGATCCTGCGTAGACGCCGTATTTGTACTAAGACAAATCACAGAAAAGGCCATCCAGTACAATAAACCAGCATATCTAGGTTTTATAGACCTGACAAAGGCTTTCGATCGCACCCAGTTCGAAGACGTATTACACCTACTGTATAAAAGAAACATACCAATCAATATTATACAAACCATCGAAAATATCTAGAATGGGGAACAAAGATTCCGACGAATATCAGGGAAAAATCTTTTGGGTAGGGAGAGAAGCGAATACATAAGAAGAGCATGGAATATAAAAGACATAAATGGATAGACGACAAAAAAAGTCACCAAATTAACGAATAAGTATTGACAGACCAAGAAAAATATTGTGCAATAATTTAAACAATTTAGGAGGCTAATATTGAAGAAGAAACAGGCTTTAAAGCCCACATTCAAGAAGGAAGAAGAAGTGCCCTATGACATCTCATCTGTAACTATACGCTAATTAATAATGAAGACACTGTGTAGTGTCCTTTTGGTATTGGCCTTGTTTGTATACATTGTTAATTTTAATATATTCGTTATATCGTTCTCTTCCATGTAACGCATCAGGCGCTTCAATCAGACCAATAACGATCTGATGTAATGCTCTTTTGACAATGCCGCAATATGCGTTTTTTCTGTCTCGACATATTCGCTACCACTCTCCTTTCCAGTCATGTATCATACGGCACGATCCGACGAACTATTCTACCCCCACCACAAAACGCTCAATAAATGAGCATACTGAACCTTAGCATTTTCTTACGGAATTTTACATGGGAAATGCAGCAGAAATGGTATAGCAACCTTTTTACAGGTATAGCTTTTACCTTATTTTATATAATTTTACCTAATTTTATTTAATTTTGCCTAATTTTATTTAATTGTTTTTTAATTTTACGTAATTCTTTTCACGTAGTAGTTCAGATTTTTTTCTATGTGGCGTACTTAACTTACTGGAAAAACAGTATGACCTGTCATCCTATCCTTTTATACAGATAGATTCTTTCATTTTTTATACGCTTTGAATTAATCATACCTTTTTGATAACTTTTGACATCTAATTTCGTTAAAACTTCTTTAGTCTTTCCAATGCGTCTTATAATTGTTTTTTGGGCTTCTTTGTAGGTAGTTTTCTTTCGACTTTTATACAAACTTCTTAAATCATTCAGTTCTATGATGTCTTGCGTGATCCTGTTCTTGCTTGTATTGTTATTGGTATTCAGCAGATTTTCATTTTATATTTTCTACTTATGTTTTAAACGTGTCATAGAGATTTTCGACTGAATCCAGTACCTGTAATTTTTTTTATCTACACAATAAGAAGTAACAATATATGCTTTTCGCATGTAACTCACATCAAATTTGTTATCAATGTTGGTTAATTATATACAATCAAGTTTATTTACTCAGCTACACGTCACCATGGACTCACGACCTTCACCTTTTTTTCTTGTTCAACTGGATTTTGTACACATTTGCATCGTCTAGAAATATATATGGAAATGTTAATTTTTTACATGGTCTTGTTGACGTTGTAGGTGCAATTTTTGGATGTTATTCTAGCAATAGATTGAAATTATTTTATGGAGGAATCATAAATTTAATTAATAGGGAATTTAAATTATATTCTAAATATATTTTTTATAATTTATCTTTAAAAAATTGTGGATAATTGATAAACAAACATAAAACACCATTTAGCAATTGCTAGTGTGAAATTTTGTTATAGTATACAGGGTGTCATATTAGGAATGGTACATAATACTTACAAGGTTCTCTGTTATTTACCGACAAAATATCTCGAAATTTGGACACGTTATTCAAAATTATGTTGCCTTTAAACTGATGGTTTTACTTTTTAAATTTTTTTGAAAGTTCTTTTGAAATATCGGTTTATACAGTTTAACGGTCTATTATAACCAAACTTTTTACGCCCATCACTTGAAAGAGTTTTTTTTTCTGTAATCGTTGGTTTTCTTTTTCACCTTTGAGAGTCCAGTAATAATCGAGAAAAGCGTGTTCAAACTTTTAAGAAAATTGCTAAAAAATACTGAAATCTAATAGTGAAACGTGTTACTCATCATTGGCATTTAGTTTCACCGTTATCGGCTGCGAGACGTCAAATCTCATTAACGTACGGTTAGATAACTTAGTTTGATTTGAAATCAATTTCAAGCTATAACTGCGAAATTGTTTATTTGTTTGTGACAACAAATTTTTTTTTTATAATAATAATTTTATGTTATTTTAAATTTATTATAAATAAACACCATGATGTTTTTTGCAGTCACGTTTCACAAATTTATATTCAATACTCTATTTAACTAAGACATATATATTAAAAATGTGATAATTATTTTTAAAACATCTACGATAATCAAACAAAAAGGTATTCCCGACAAAAGTAATTTGAATGGAGAATAATGCATTTGTTGTCATTAAGGCTGTTTTAGCAGTCAAAACACACTGCGATTTGAATTGGGCGTATCACTTACTTTTCCTTACTGCTTACATCGACGACGCCGACGGGTACAGCTGTTTTCGCAGTGGCACCGGCGCGGCGGTTGGTTTAATGACAACAAATGCATTATTCTCCATTCAAATTACTTTTGTCGGGAATACCTTTTTTGTTTGATTATCGTAGATGTTTTAAAAAGAATTATCACAATTTTAATTTATATGTCTTAGCTAAATATAGTATTGAATATAAATTTGTGAAACGTGACTGCAAAAAACATCATGGTGTTTATTTATAATAAATTTAAAATAACATTTATATTATTG